ATAACCCGCACTCAAGGCCATGCAAAAGGCCCAGGGGGGAAAAAAACAAAGGCCCAAATGGCAGGGAACCCCTGAAAGCACAAACATGTGCTAATAACAGGGAAAAATAAAGAAATAACTCAAACTAAAAAGGTATAAAGAAAGGGAGGTGTAACAAGCTGCATGGCTCAGCTTACAGACATCTCGATGCTCCATCTCAAGCAGCAACTGGAGCAGTGACGGGTCTGCCCCTCCCTCCATGCCCTCGCCCCACGGCACAAGGTGTCTGGGGTGCAGGTGTGGCTCCGCGTAAACTGCTGACAAGAGTCTCTGCTCAAGCATGCACAGGCAGGCGCCTATCCTGTTGAGCAGCCATAGGGACACGACTCGAAGAAGATTCGTTGGTTCTCAATTTCGTTTAAAAAAATTTTTTTAATTCCTTTAGGCTCTGCAAAACACACGTGCTTGGCCACTGCGTGTTTGTATGATTATTATTTTATTCCCCTGGAGGTCCTAGGAGGAGGAAAAGAATTAAATTAAAATCCGAGTTTTTATCGTTTGCATAGACCAGCTTCAGTTTGGTTAACGAAAATTTACTAGTCTGTTCCAGGTGCTCCAGGGAGGCCAGGAGCTGTAAACCCACCTTAACCAGACTGTTCAAATGGACCTATGGCTTCTTTGCATCACAAAAGTGGTCCAAAGCAGCTGGTGCATCCTGGTGAAGCGGAGCCGGAGAGCAAGGCCTCAAAAATGAGGGAAATGTTTGATCATTTTAAAACTCTAGTCCTGAAGCTTTACCAGGACCTCTGAGCTGGATTCATCAGCCCAGGGACTTCACTTTGCTTCTCTAGCTTTTCCTTTCTCTTCACATTTGAATACCGGATCCTCTGGGGGGTTGCTATGGCGCTGCTTTTCGGAATTGCAAACTAAGACTTCCATCGGGGAAGCCACTGAGCTAAGGAAAAGCACGGTTGAGAGCTTGTCGTTAGTGAATCTGGAGAACCCTGTGTGTTACAGCGTGAACTTGGTCCAACTTGTATAACCTTAACTGGACTCCAGCTCAGTGACGTGCAAGTCAATACAGCAGCGTTGACATTCCAAAATTAAACCTTGACAGCAATGTTTTGCACAGTATTTATCCAACATTTCATTGGTGCGACTGGATACAAACTCAGCTGTACTCATTTGAACTTCATTGAACTGCCTCCTGCATGTGTACTGCATAAAGGGAGATCACCACAGCTCATTATCTAGCTGTGTCGTTTAACACCCTGAGAAGTTCCTCTAAGCCCTTCACTATTAATGTGTTAGATTGGGAATGGCACTGAACTCACTTGAGCGGACTAAAAGGAAAACTACTTACCTTTAGTAAGTGGAGTTCTTCAAGATGTATTGTTTATGGGTATGTCTACACAGGGATAAAAGACCCACGGCACACCTGCAGCTGGCCCAGGTCAGCTGACTTGGGATCACGGGGCTCAGGGTCCAGGGCTAAAAATCACTGTGTAGACATTTGTGTTCAAGCCAGAACCCGAGCTCTGGGACCCGTCACTCCTGCAGAAACGTCTACACAGCGATTTTTCAGCTCCAGAACCTAAGCCCTGTGTGCCCATCAGCTGATCCAGATCAGCCATGGGTTTTTATTCCTCTGTGTAGACATACCCTATATGCGTTCCACTTCTGGTGTGCATGTGCCCTGTGCGCTCAAGAGCCAAACACTTTACCCAGCAGTCTCTGTTGGTCACACCTGCTTCTTTGATGACCTCGAGCCCCTCCAACTCCAGGGTATAAAGGAGGCAGAGTGACCAACCAACCCTCAGTTTCTGTGCCACTATCAAATCCAGGGTATTGGCTTCAACAGTAGCCATAAAAGCAGGGTGGGTCATGGAACACAAGTAAACAACACATCTCAAGGAACTCCAGTTACTAACGGTAAGTGACCTTTTCTTCTTCAAGTACTTCTGGACATGTGGTCCACTTCTGGCGATTCCTAAGCAGTATGTATCAGCTATGGGCATTCCCCTAAAAGAGGCTGCAGAAGTGGCCAGTCTCTGGTACCATGTGCAGGGGCGGCTCCAGGCACCAGCACAGCAAGCGCGTGCCTGGGGCGGCAAGCCGCAGGGGGCGGCGTGCCAGTCGCCATGAGGGCAGCAGTCAGGCGGCCTTCGGCGGCTTGCCTGCGGGAGGTCTGCTGGTCCCGCGGCTTCAGTGATAATTCGGCGGCGGATACGCCGAAGGCACGGGACCGGCAGATCACCCGCAGAAACGCCGCCGAATCCGCAAAGGTCACCTGACTGTGATGCTTGGGGCAGCAAAAAACAGAGCCGCCCCTGACCATGTGACCTTACGTGACCTGGGAGTTCTAAATTGGTCACCTCATAAGTTTTATGCAGTGAGACGCCCAGTTCAATACTCTCAGTGCTGAGATGGTCTGACCCTGGCATCTCTGAGCAATAGAAATATATAGCCTAAGGGACTGCCTGAATGGTTTGTTCTAATCAGATAAAATGACAGAGCTCAGAGGACATCTAGAGTATGTAATGCAGTCCCATGCTTGAATGAATGAGACTTTGGGGTCGTGGGGAACAGGTAAGTGAATGGACTAATTGAAATGGTGGAGTGTAACTTTATCCCTGTGAAAAATCATATATGGGGTAGGTCCTGCCATAAGGGCTTGCAATGCACAGACACTGCATGCTGGTATAATTGCCACGAGGAATACCATTCTCCATAGGCAAATGGAGTAACAAGCATGAGGCTAACTGTGCTAATGGAGGTCCCATCAAGCCTGGGAAACACCAGATTAAGACTCCATAATGGAGAGGGTTAATTCATTGAAGCAAAACCTCTCAGATCTTTCACAGACTAACTGAAGGATGAGGGGGGGAAACTGTATGGTTTTAAATCACTGAATGATGCACTGAGATAGTAGCCAAATAAACATGTAATGAGCTTACAGACAAGCCAGAGGTTTTTAAGGATAATAGCTACTCAAGGATATGAAGGATTGACATCTCTCGCAGAGGAAGATCAAGTTGGCAAGACAAGGATGAAAAACCCGTCCACTCTGCAGAATAAATTGCCCTCATTGGACTGCTTTCTGCACTGAATCAGTATGCTCTGCACATCAGCAGAACAATTCTCCTCCGCGTCTGTTAGCCAGACAGCTTCCATGCCGTAAGGTGTAGAGAGAACAAATCGGGATGAAATGTTGTCCCATTGTTCTGCGCTATTAAATCTGGTAGAAGAGGTAGAGATATTGGAGGTGTCAGTGAGAGATTTCTGATTTCCATGAACCACCATTGCCTGGGCCAATCCAGGGCCTTTGGGATGATTGATGCCTTGCCCTGTTTGACTTTCCTTCACGCACGTGGGATGAGAAGAATTGAGTGAATAAGTGTACAATAGACCATGAGTCCAGGGGATTAGGAAGGCATCTGCTTAAGAACCTGGACTCTGTATTCCCCTGGAACAAAATACTTTGCATTTCTTGTTCTGTTCGGTCTCAAAAAGATCTATGCACAGAGCACCCCACTGACTGAAAATGGACTTGATGACCGAACCCTTTATGGCCCATGTGTGATTCTGAGAAAAATGCCTGCTTAAATGGTCTGCCGGTGTGTTGTGTAGGCCTGGAAGGTGAACTGCAGTAAGTTATGTTGTGCCAAATACACCAATTCCATAGGATTGCATTCCTGCATGAGTGTGT